AACTTGACTGTCCACCAAACTTGGCTTTCCAGAGGATGAAGAAAGTCAGCCTGTGGGATTGTGGAATACTTTTGGCAGACTCCGAGAGCATGAGTCCCATGAGACTGCATCTGGACAGCAAAGTAATAGGGCTGGCTTGACTCAGGTTCACACCCTCAACCCCCATGAGGTCTTCATTCTGAACCCTGGGTTAGCACAATTTGTGTTTAGACAGAAGGGGGTTTAGGCTTGAGCCTGTGTTCAAACCCTGGGCTTACATTGCAGTGTAGACATACCCTGAATGGGCCCCTAGGCACTACCACAATACCAAATAATAAATAATAGTGTCAACAGGGAAAAGGCATTTTTACTACTGTAGTGCCCAACCCTGTCAACACTAGCGTTTCCAACACTGCTACTGCTAGGGGAGCTGCACTGGTGCCACGTCAACAGTGCAAAAACTTTGAGTACAGATGCACCCTGTTAGGACTTGTTTGGAAACTGCGGCAAGAAACCAACCTTATTTACTCTCCCACTCCCTTTACGTTGTCCTGCCAGATCTTTGTTTGCTATTGGAGAAATCCCAGCTTCAGATATGTTTAGTGGGACTATAATGTGTTACTCTTTTCTTCTGTACTAAATGTTCTTGGTGTTCTCCAAAGAGAATATGATTGCTCTTTGAGAGAGGAGGAAGCAGGATTGGGGGGTGTGATAGGATCCCAGGGTACAACCTGGAACTGTGGGAACTTTCCAGCATGGGCTGTCTCTTTCAATGCTTTGCTAGTGATAAGCAGCAAACCCCTCCAGGTGCTATCACTCAGTCAACAGCATGCGGGGTCACATCCAGCTAAGTTGCATGAATACTCTTTAAACCACTCATGAACCATACACAGCAAAAACACCAGCAAATCCCCCCAGCCTTGCACCCCAGAAATGTACTGCCTTACACTGCTTAGGACCTTCTTTTGAACAATGCAAGCTCATTAATTAGTTTGCCACTTCGTCAAAGGATCATGGACATGCACCAACCGTTGCAATCTGAGCAGATTCCCTAAGCACTTTAGACAAACTCACTGGTAAGGATAAAACATTAAAATAAGTTTATTAACTACAGAAAGATTTTAAGTGATTATAAGTGGTAGGCAGAAAAGTCAGAGATAGTTACCTAAGAAATAAAAATAAAATCACAGTCTAAATCCTAAACTTTCAGACTAAGCAAGAATTGAATCAAACAGCCTTTCTCACCCCACTGGATGTTGCAGGCTGGTTACAGTTCTTAATACACAGGCTGAATTTCCTTTTCAGCCTGGGACCAGTCTCTTCAGTTTAAAGTCTTTGTCTTCCCAGCGATCTTGTTGCCTTCAAAGTAGGTGGGAGAGGAGAGAGCTGGTCTCATGATGCCACTGTCCCTGATTTTACACACTCAGTTCATGTCCCAAGAAAGACACTGGCCCAGACATGTCCTGGTAGGACTTGCCGCCTCACAAAGTTGAGCAATCCTCCTTGTGTGGTACTTGCACAACTGTCTCTTGCAGAATTGTAACTCTCTTGTTTAAAATTCCCTTACTGGTCAATGGCATGTGATGGTTGCTTAACACCCATTTGGGTGTGGGTCACCACCTCAGTCATTGGAGTGCTAGCAGTGGGCATCTCCCAAACTCACAACATATTTCAATAACAGCCATATAGCAAAATCTCATAACTTCCTACACATCAACAATACATATTTTGACAGAACAATGAGTTTCAGCAGATTGTGATCTTTCATATGGTATTGTACATAGCATGCTTTTTATGAAATATCACAAACATATACAAATGGTGAATATGGGGGTTACAGGCTGCTACTTTGAGATCCAGTGTGTCACAGGGAATGAAGAGAATGAGGTGTAATTCAATCTCCTCCGCTCTTTGCAGGAGTAGCATACAGGAACCAGTTTGTTACCATTAACATAGAGGCTTTGTGTTGCAGTTTCTTAGTTCCCTAAAAGCACCCAAGATTGCAGGGCTTAGCAAACTTTGGCCTGGTCTACACTAACCCCCCAAGTCGAAGTAAGGTACGCAACTTCAGCTACGTGAATAACGTAGCTGAAGTCGACATACCTTACTTCGAACTTACCGCGGTTCAGACGCGGTCCACACGCGGCAGGCAGGCTCCCCGTCGACTCCGCGGTACTCCTCTCATTGAGCTGGAGTACCACAGTCGACGGCGAGCACTTCCTGGTTTGATTTATCGCGTCCAGACCAGACGTGATAAATCGAACCAGGAAGTTCGATTTCCAGCCGCCGAACTAGCGGCTAAGTATAGACCAGCCCTTTATTCCAATTCACCAGCTCATGGAAATGACAATAATACAGAGACCAATAAAAGTAATTAAACTTGGAAAATAAATAAGATATAGACAGTCTATTTCCAATGCATGCAGCATCTCAGTGCTAGGGAAAAGCTGTCTATAATTAAAGGCAAGAAGTGGCACAGGAGCCAAGATGATTATAGATCTTCTTTAAAGGTATGCACACAGGAATTAGACCTATGACGATAGCTCGGCAAACAAAGCAACAATCTGGCAACTTCAGGCCCCTCCATTCTCCACTTATTTGGCTAGTTTAATAATGCTATTTTTAATTGTGAATGATTGATTTTACTCAGGCCCGCTGACAGCAATTCCAGGCCCTAGGGCAGAACAGTCAATGGGCCCCCACACATGCACAAACTGCGCCCACGTGGACGCGGTTCGCCTGATATTTGGGCGGTGCTACGCCTGCGCTGGCTGGTGCCCAGTGAGCTGCTGGCTGTGCTGCTGGGCACGCTTTTCTGACACGGCCAGGGTTTCTACATGCCCGCCCAGTAGGTTGCCAACTGTCTAATCGCGCAAACCCAAAGACCGTTTCCCTGCCTCGCCCCTTCCCTGAGACCATGCCCCTGTCCCGCCCCTTCTCTGAGCCCCCCCC